GACCAAGAGGGCCCCATATGTGTTTCCCCATTCAGAACCCATATAGAGGTTGCCTATGTGGGTACTACCTTGGGCCAGTGTAGGCAGCCTATACGGGACTGATTGTGTTTACCCATGTCAAGCCAGTATGATTTGGCCAAGAGGGCCCCATATGTGTTTCCCCATTCAGAACCCATATAGAGGTTGCCTATGTGGGTACTACCTTGGGCCAGTGTAGGCAGCCTATATGGGACTGATTGTGTTTGCCCATGTCGAGCCAGTATGGTTTGGCCAAGAGGGCCCCATATGTGTTTCCCCATTCAGAACCCATATAGAGGTTGCCTATGTGGGCACTACCTTGGGCCAGTGTAGTCAGCCTATATGGGAACGATTGTGTTTGCCCATGTTTTACCCGTATGGTTTGACCAAGAGGGCCCCATTTGTGTTTCCGCATTCAGAACCCATATAGAGGTTGCCTATGTAGGTACTACCTTGGGCCAGTGTAGTCAGCCTATATGGGAACGATTGTGTTTGCCCATGTCGAGCCAGTACGGTTTGACCAAGAGGGCCCCATTTGTGTTTCCGCATTCAGAACCCATATAGAGGTTGCCTATGTAGGTACTACCTTGGGCCAGTGTAGTCAGCCTATATGGGAACGATTGTGTTTGCCCATGTCGAGCCAGTATGGTTTGACCAAGAGGGCCCCATTTGTGTTTCCGCATTCAGAACCCATATATATGTTGCCTATGTAGGTACTACCTTGGGCCAGTGTAGGCAGCCTATATGGGACTGATTGTGTTTGCCCATGTCGAGCCAGTATGGTTTGGCCAAGAGGGCCCCATATGTGTTTCCCCATTCAGAACACATATAGAGGTTGCCTATGTGGGTACTACCTTGGGCCTGTGTAGGCAACCTATATGGGATTAATTGTATTTGCCAATGTCTAACCCATTTGTTAAACCCATATGGGCCCCATTTGTGTTGCCCATTTAGAGCCCATGCACTCATTTCCCATTTGTGACCCAACTAGATCCCACATATGGAGCCCATCTGTTTTTGCCAATGTGGGACCTACTTAGCTGACCCAAGTGGGCCCCAGATAAGATGCCCATTTTGGGACCATACCCACCTGGTACCCATGTAGACCCAGCATAAACCATGTGTGGACCACATATACATGTTGGCTGGGATGTTAAGCTCTGCTCTGATTGGCTGTTTCACAGTGCGGATCAATGTTGAGCTGTGCTCTGATTGGCTGTTTTACAGTGCGGCTCATTTCTGTAGCTCACACAGCAGGAAGGAAACACAAGGAAAACATATATTTCAATACTCTCCCTCGCAGTTATATCGTTCTGTATATAAAATGCGGGCATCAGGGCCATTGAAACTGCGTTCGAGTGCATGATCACTTTTTACTTTAACTTTAGAGATTTGCGATCGTACCTGCTGTGTGAACTACAGCGGCATTACTTACCACATATTTTACAAGATCAGATGCTTATCAGTGGTGCTCAGGATCTGTAAATCATTTGTCATCATCCTCAGTCATCTCTCCTTACTCTGTTTATGTGATAAGTGAAATCTTATGTACTGTAATATAACAGTCTAGCAAGCAGCAAACATGTCCCTTTAGTGGCTCGCGTTATTTTATTAGAACACGCAACACCAACCCATCCCTGCACATCACATCCCCTTCACAGCCTGGAACTCATTCATTTATTTCCATGATCTGCCATTTTCGCTATTATCCTTGCTTGTTTCTTCACAATACCTGTAGAACATCTGATGATTTGAGAAGGGTATAACTGCAGCCTGGAGATCTCCAAATGT